ATGGATGACCATTGATCATGATAGCCAGGCTTAGCTAAGTGCATCCCCATTTGGGAGCTGTCCCTTATCAAAAGAAAACATCTTTAAATCAGCCTGCATGAAAAGCTTCTCTGTGGCTGCACCACAGAGATGAAGAGAGAGATGGGGCCTCATTTTGGAAAGAACAGCAACAATTTATTCTGTCTTATTAACAAGCATTGCCGCTACAGACTGAAGTTGCAAACCTTGAGTGAGTGTCACACCCAGTACACCTAGAGGGCGCTCAACTTCTCCCCTGTTCCTAGTTCCCTGTGTTTATTCATGTCTTTCTGGTGTGTCATGTTGTGTAGCCTATTTACTTTCTGCTTCTGGTCTGCTCCTCGCTCAGCATTGAGGTTAAGATGTCCTGAAACCTGCTTAGCACCAGGTCACTCTTGTCCTGAGGGCATAGGTTTCTATACGGCATTTCCTGAACAGCTGAGTCCGGGCTAAGCCCTGTCTCGCCACTACGCATAGGGTATATTTTCGGTCTCCTGCCATTCCATGGTTCATCCTTTCCAACATCCATGATAGTGAGAGGCAAGATTGACACCATTCTGGCCATCAACATAACCCAATCACAGCCCGTTACTGCCTAAATAGCCTACATCCTGCGACATATGCAGCTGAACACTTAAATAACTACAGCTACAAGGATATCTACTTTAACTGTCTATCAAAGCGCAGCTGTCCTTGAGAAATTAAGAAGCTAACTTTCTCAGATGAACTAATGGAAATTATATGTTTAATACTGACTAAGAACAAAGGAAAATCAACAATGTTTGTGTATGTGCTCATTAACATTTTTTTACACTTGTGTTGTTACACTTGTGTTGAAAGGTACTGGCATGGTGCAGAACATAATATCTCTATGTAATATCATACATTTAGAAAAACTGTTACATACAAAAGCATGCGAGCAGTTAAAAAGCCGAAAAGAAAAGAAAGATATGTAGATTTTCTAATGTATTTAGATAATTTCATATGAGAGCCATTCATTCTAATTTAAAAATATAATAATTGCTATAATGCAAGGCGGTACTGGTTAGCATTGCTGCCTGATAGCACTAGAGACCTAGGTTCAATTCCTGGTGTGCTATCTCCCTGTGGCTCATATTGCTTGCCATGGGTTTCCTCTGGATGCTCCAGAGTGTGCCCTGTGATGCAGGGTGTACGGTACCTTGTCTTGTGCCTGTTGCTTGCAGGTGTCAGACTTCACGTCAGGAATCAGAAACCTTGAGAGAGGGAGTTCAATAGAGCCAACTTTATTTGAAGTGCAGAAAGGGAGATTGTACAGGAGACCACACCATCAATTCTCAGAAATCAAAAGCAGATGCTGCTGCTTATGTACACCTTTTTTTTTGCATCACAAAGCTGTTCGTTTTACAAAAGGCTACTCATTCTAACAAATCTTTTGATTATTCCTTATCATATCTCACGAACCCAGTCAAGCTCATCCTGTCCTCTACCTTTCAATTAGCCCGCACACCCTGGGCTCTTCACTAACATAGTGAACTCCAGCTTCCTCATGACCTTGCATTCGATAACAAGGTTAGAAAATGGATAGAAGGATTATTGCAATCGTCCACGTTATGATTATTGCAAGTACATGATCCTCCAGCGCTTACAACCCTACTGCAAAACTAAGAGCTGCATCAAGCAAGTCCTGGGGCCTCAGCTGTTGCCCTTCCTGTGAGCTCATCTTGACACGAGCACATCTCAGCAGGACAACACGTCCTCCTGCTGCTCTCTTGCAAGCAGAGAAATGCCATGGAAACCTCACTCACCTGAGGGGATTCAGCATCTGTGAGCTGAGATATTCTGCGCCACCGAAAGCCCAGAGAATAGGTCTGGGAAAGACAGCAAGACAACCAAAGGTGTCGCAGATGTACAGTTTTCAGGGCTTCAGAAGCCACACATGCTATAAGCCTGTGACTTTCACTGACTCCCTGTTGATTAAACCTGTTGATGTCAAATGTTGTTTGGTGAATTTACTTGCGACTGTGGCTTGTGTCTGTTCAATAAAACAGTAGTGCATCTGCTACAGAAAAGATGGTCCCTTTCCCTGTTAATTAATTTGTGATTTTGTTTCAGTTATAAGTGATAAGCTTACAGTTTGTATTCTTAGTTAAAGCAGATAAAGAAAGGTTTTTAAAAGGAGGAGGGGTCTCTTAACTACACAGACAGGTCTGTGATGTATGGCTGCCCATCTCCCCCTTACCTGCCTTACCTCCAAGAAATGGCAGCAGAAAAAACATTCTTAGACAACATAAGGAAAGGTTTTGGTACCAGACAATCTGAGTGAACATAGCCCTGCAGTACATACAGATAAGCGTAATTGGTCTGACAATTGGTACAATTAAGTGCTTTACACTGAAGTTGGGAAAATGTAGAAGACCACTTTCTCAAAAGTGCAGGAAGAACCTCACTTTCACCTTGAAACTGAGCTTACTGAGAAAATAAGTGAACCACCTGCAGTGAATATTACTGAGTACTTTTTTCTTGCTTTAACAAATTTAAAGTATACATTTATACATACAGTATATCATATTATACATTATATATTAATTGTCTTTGAACCTGTTGAAAAATTAAATTAACAGAAATTGTAATTTTCATTGCCTATGAAGAGGAAGGATATTGCTGTTCTGGAATAAGTCCAGAGAAGAGCAACCAGATACAAGACAGGGCTTAAGGGAAGGGCTAACAGGATGAAGAAAGTGAACATTTTTAGTTTTAAACAGAGAAGATTAAAAAGGGACCTGGTTTAAGTATCCAAAATCCTCAAAGACATTAACAAAGTCAACCCAGCAGATTTCTTCAGATTCTGAAACACCAATCCGATGGGACCAGTGAAACCTATATACAGTAGAAATATGTGTAAAATTGAGAACAAGAAGCACTTCTTTACCCTGAAGGGCTGTGGAAGTATGGAACCAGATATCCAGTCATGTTGTTGAAGCTGATACCCCAGCTTCTTTAAAAAAATGGCCTATCACAAACCTTGACTCAATTAACTACTAATTAACAAATTAACTACTAATTAACAAATTAACCAGATGGACGATAGGCCCTCTCTTATTTGTAAACCTTTTAATGTTATTAGTAAATGTATACATTGATCCCCACACTTTCTTATCAGCGTAGATAACAGAAAGCTATGCATTACCTGTACAGGTTCAATCACTTTCTGATGTGACATTGCTTTAGAGGAAAACTGACTGTTTAGTGCTGGATGCTTCAGGGATACACATTCCATCCATCTTAACAGAAGCTACTTAGCAAATTGAGGGAGGTACCAAGCAAGAGCCTACCTTGAGAGCACAGGGCACAGGGCATGACTGAAAAAACCACAGCTGCTCTCTGTTTCTGGACTATCTATTTTCTTGGGATGCCAGATCATCACAAGGTAGGAGAGAAAGGGAGAGTTTAGAACAGCCAATGAAACCAACTCAACATGTGCCAGAATCAAACTCAGGAACCTGGAACTGTGAAGCATTTCCATCCATCATTTTCTCACCACTTCATCTAATTCTGGAGGTCATGGGATGCTAACCTGGCAAGCAATGGGTGCAAGGCAGGGTACACCTTGCACATTTACTGAAAATTATTATACCTACCTAGTATAATAATTATATAAGCAACTGGGATCTATGTTACAACATGCTGTGTTCACAGCTGCTGTGTTTGCTTTCTTGCATAAATCTCACAATGAAGAAAGACCTAATGGAATGACTAACAGAGGCTTTTTCTTTGGGGGACACAACTATTCAAAGCTACATACTGTACAAAGAGAAAATTAAAGCTACATTAAAGCTCTTATATTTTTTCTCTATATATTATTAAGCAAATCCATCATTTTTTAAAAACAGCAACAAACAATAAACACCATACTCCCATGAGAGTTTATAGTTATGAACCAAAGTCTTTTTGATGTTCAGATTCAACACAAAAGGAAAACGGCTGCATTACAAAGCTGAAATGGTATTCCAGGCCACAGCTCCAGCAATCATCACAGAAATTGATTTGTGATTTATTTTCTGTCTGATTTACTGGGCCTAACAAAAGTATACGCTCCCTTCCAACGATGTTCCATTTTTGTTTATTACAAATGATGTACTGTATACACATGTACAGGTGGGATGGTGGCACAGTGGTTAGCACTGTTGCCTTGTAGCACTGGGTGATTTCCTGTCTGTGTGAAATTTGCATGTTCTCCCTGTGCTGGTGTGGGTTTCCTCCGGGTTTTCTGGTTTCCTCCTGCAGTCCAAAGACATACTGGTATGTTAAATAGCTTCTGTAAATTGGCCCTGGTGCGAGTGTGTGCGTGTTTGTCTGTGGGAGTGTGTGCCCTGAGATGGACTTTCTTCCAGCCAAGAGTGAATCCTGCTTTGCTATTCATTTTATAAAAGGCTACACATTCTAACACATGTTTTAATTAAGTCAAGCCCATCCTGTCCTCTACCTTCCAATTAGCCCGCACAGCCTGAGCTCTTCACTGACATAGACTCCAGCTCCCCCATGACCTTGCATTAGATAACGAGGTTAGAAAATGAATGGGTAGTATACAGACATTTTTAAAGTGAATATTTCTGATGCAAACTAAAAACTTTTATGGACAATTAACATTAAATGTCAGGAAAACTAGAAAAGAAAAATCAAAACTAAAACTGCCACCATGACACCATGATTGTTAGAAGCCAATTGTTGTAATTGTTTGACAAAAATGACTACTTGGAGTTTTTTGCAGAACTCTAACGTTTTTGCACACTGTCGTAGTGTATTTTAGATCATGTTTGACCATTCCTCTTTGCATAGGAATGGAACTACACTGGAAGGGGTGAATGAATTTGCTTGGGACTGTATATTCAGTGAGAGAGAATAAAAACCCAACGAATGAGTTTCGTAACCATTAGCATGTTTTGTGTTTTTAATGCCAGCATATGTATTATTTTTTCCTTTCCTTGGGAACTTTATAACAAACTTTGACAGGAATCCTGATGCACCTCAGCTTTTGGCCATTGCTATTTTTATGTTTTGAATTGAATCTGAAAATGACTCTTCAAGAGTTGTTGGAACACAGCGTCTTGCTAAGTAACTGAAAAAATAATTTTGGACTGTGAACCATCTGTGGGTGAATCATCTTTGTTGCTTGTTTGTTGCTGCTTTGCCCCTGGGCAATTCTGCTTTGGCAACTGTTAAACATTTTGAATACTGCTAGTTCATTTTGGAATGAAAGGACCCCTAGAATATACACTGCATTAAAAGATTAAGGAAACATGTAAGATAATACAGTTTCTGAAAGTAAATTAACTGATTCATGTGGAATGGAAATTTGCAGAGGATGTAGGAAGGAAATATTTTACTGAACAGGGAGTACTTTAAGATGGTGAGTGATTTGTATATGATGTAGCTTTAAACCTCTAATGATTAAGATCAGTAAAATGTGATTTGGCAGTGCAGAAAGGGAGAGCAGATGTCCTGAACCAGCACAGTTAAACAAACCAGCATACCGGCTTAGAACAAACAGCTGTAAACATGGAGAACATACTGAGCCTATAGTAAACAGTGAAAAGTACAGTAAAAAAGCACACTTCAATAAGATTTCTATAGTATGGATAAGAAACACCTGCAAATTTAACTGACAATCAGAGCTATGTCTTCCGTTATAATTACTTCTTTACTAAAGAGTGTATTTTTGCAGTACAGATTAAAAAATCAATTGGTATAATTCCTATTGTTGAACAAAAAAATATAAAAAAAACATACCCCTCATATTAAGCTTTACTATGAATCTATCCATCACCTGTTTAAAAGTGTTTCTTTTTTATCAGTTTGCATTTCTTCTGTGGCAAAGGCAGAATTGTCAAAAAGAGGGAGGTCCACATGTATTCTGCTCTTAAAACTTTAAATACACTAATGGAAAGTCCAAAATATTTCAGTCACCTTTTTTCTACAAAATTAGATTGCAAACTATTTTATATTGTCCCTAGTGAACAGAAGAGATACTAAATCTCAAAATGAGACTTTCTGTGCTTATTTTGTGTGAAATATATAGCAAAACCAGTAATAGATAAATGAAATTTTATTTGCAGAAGAGGTTCACATGATCTGTCCCTTACTGTTGCAATATTTTACTAGGTGCATGAACTAATATTGTGCTTTAACAGTATTATGCAGCAAATAGTGCTCATTACAACTTTAAAACCCCAAATTATAGGTGTAACAGCCTTTTATGATGTGCAATGTAATGGTGCCTGTATTGTAAGTATGATTAGGAATCACCCAGCTAATGCAAGTATAATAGCTCCTGGTCTTTCGGCTTGCCAGAGTGATGAAAATGCAGGTGTAATTGTCTTCTCAGTCATTGGAGGGCAGTGCTGGTTACCCTGTGAAAATGATGTCTTGTGCATTTTCTTGAGAAGAAAATTTCAGAAATGTGAACACTTTACACTGACCTTTGTGAGGAAACAGGGGTATTGAAAGCTTTTACTTTCAATAATCTCTCCAACTTTGAAATTTTAAGAAGAGCAAATAATCTTATAAAAAGCAAGGAACAGTGCCTACTTGAACTATCGACATACCAAACACTTGACTAAAATGGAAACATTGCACTATTTATTTAAAAGATGGCCGGGAATACTTCATGTTGGGTAACATCTAGATAAAATGGCCAGAAGAGAACTGTCCTCATGATCTAAACAATGTGAGGAAATATTTCTGAGACACTGCCTCCCTAATGGAGCTGCTTCAGGAGTGGATCGCACAATAATGACCTTTCAAGAAGTTAACCACCGGCCAGCAGCCATATCACTCTGCAACAGACAACTGGCAGCCCACTGAAGCTAAG